TGCCGCTCAGATCCCTCATCGTGAAGGAGGACTCCGGGTACAAGACCTTTTACTACCACCTTGTCAAGTGGGTGAGGGGAGCGGGGGGAAGAGAGGGGGAGGGGAGAGGAGGGCGCGGGGAAGGGTTGATAACGTTTTTTCTGGAGGCCCTCGTGTCCGTGCAACCCCCCCGGCACTCTCGGGGGGGGGGAGTAAATGCAAAATGAAGGAGGGTGGGTTGTGTGTGCGGGATTGTGTATGTGTGGGGTTACGGACTTGCGATCGTTTTTCTTGTCATTTGTTCCCTACGTTCCCTTCTTTTCCCCTCCTCCGGTTACCCTTTCCCCCTTCCCTTCCCTTCCCAGACCCCTCACCTTTCCCCTGACGCCCCCTCCCGACCCCACCGTAAGGCCCTACCAGCACTACATCCCCGTGTGGAAGGCGGGGGGCGGCCCTGAGGACGTGTTAGAGGCTGTGAAGTGGGCCTCGCTCAATGACAAGGAGGTGAGGGGGCCCCCCGGGGGCGGCCCTGAGGGGACAGCGCCGTTCTTTTCCCCCTTTGTAGCCCACCACAGGCCATTCTCCTGCTCGCAACTCTCCCCCTCCCTCCCCTTTCCCTCCCTCCCCGTGGTTCGTCTTCCCCCTCCCTCCCCCCCCCCCCAGGCCGAGCGGATGGCCGCAGCCGCCCAGGCAGTGGCTCTCAAGTACTTGAACAAGAGGGCGAGGTCGTGCTACTGGCTGAAGCTGTTCCAGGTGTGAATGTGTGTGTGTGTGGGGGGGGAAGAAGGCGGAGAGAAGGGGGAAGCTGTCTGTGTATGTGCGTGTGCGTGTGTCTGCGTGTGCGGAATCAGATGACCACAACCAACAAGTATCTCACTGCTTTGTTTAACGCAACGCAAAAGGGTTTTTCCAGGACTGTTGGGTCACCGCCTTCATGTGCAACGTTATAGCTTATCAACCACCTTGCGTCTTTCTCTTTTGCCGCTTCTACCTGACAAAAAATTCCCAACAAAGCAACTCCCAACCGCCAACTAACCAACTCCCAACTCCCACGCCCCAGGCCTACGCCTCCCTCCAGCGCTTCCCTGCCACTCCGGCGAACAAGACCTACTTGCGGAGTGTGGAGCAGTACTTGGAGACTGTGGGGAGGAAGTTTGAGGGCGGGCAGCAACTGCACAAAATTGAATACTGACTGACGAGTCGTGTTGGGTTTCGGACGGGGTGGAGGGGAGGAAGGCGGGGGGAGGGGTGTTCGATCTCGGGGTGCTGGTGGCGGTACACACATGCCTGTACATGATGGTGTTGTGCGTGCGTGTAGGGCGATGATGCCGGTGTATGGGCACACGGTCGTTAAAACGGTTGGTCGTTGGGAGCTCTGTGGGTGTCGTTGCTGCTTCCCGATTTCCCTTTTTGCCCTATCCGGGATCTCCCAACCTCCCACGGTTGTTGCGGGTGCGGAGGATGTGATGGACGAGCACAGCCACTGCATTCTCGACGTCGTCCCAATTCCCTAGTGCCCTGCCCCACGGCGGGATACCCGAGAATGTGTTTTCTGGGGGAAAGTCGTACCACGAGCGAGTGAAGCTGCTGCCAGGGCAAGAGTGTACCAGGAGTAGAACTGACCAAAAGGCGTTCTTGAAGGCGGCGACCCCCCCCCTGTTTTGGGGGGGGGGGAATAATCGCCACGATAGCACCGGTGGGTGCTGGGGGTTGAAGTAGGAGGAGGCGCGCGGCGGTTAGGGTGGTTATGTTTTGGTATATGTGTATGTATGTCACGTATAAAAAGGAATTTTGGCACATGCACATAGCGAATACGTACATGCCATTTCATGCCATGTTTTTCATTTTTCGCTTGGAAGGGTGTATCAGCTACTACGATGGAGAATGGTTTTGTCGCCACCACCTCGCGTTCGTTGGTTGGTTGGTTGGTTGGGTTATTAGTTGCTTTGCCAAAATGCAAACCCAAAAAAACTGTGCTCCGAAACGGAGTGTGGTTGGTGGATGAGGGTGGCGTCGAGTCTCTCACATTGCTCCGCGGGGAATGGGGGAAGAAGAGGGGGAGAAAGCGGCATTGACTCTTTGACTCATTTTCGTCCCAGCCAAATTTATCGCTTAAGGTTGGAAGTTTTGTAATATCACATAACTTGCTGGTAATCTCTCCACCATGATATCTGAAGAAGAGTAATATTACCTTTTCCTTTAAAATTATAGTAGTCCAGTGGTGATGTGTGAACTAGCATAAAAAGGTGCAAAGGCAAATGAAATGAAGCCGTAATAATTGCAAATACCTGACCAGGCGAGTCTATCAAAGAAAGGAACCATATACCTATCTTGGAACCGGTGAAGCTACCACTACCACCCACCGCCACCTCGACCTCATCACAGTCGACCTCATCACACCACACCACACCAACGCACAACGACGGCCACACCACAAAAAGGAAAAGGCGGCGAGAGCAACAACAAACAACTATTTGCCCTCCACATGGCGACATTTTTATCCTAGGAGAGGTGCAGCTTGCAAAAAAAGCACATGGGATGCAGAAGACGGGCTCTTAGCAGAGCATTCTTCCGCACCGTAGCTTCCTCTACTGCTGCGGCTGTTTCTGCTGCTATGTCGTTTTTCACACTTCGAGCTGCAGTCCTAGGCGAGGCCGTGTGCCGGGGTTCAAACCGTCCACCTGGACAGGGCGGCGCGGGGGAGGTAGATTCACAGGAGGGGGAGATTCCGGGTGTGTGTGTGTGGGGGGGGGGGAGGGGGGAATCACTCAAAGCCGCAAGGAGTTCGGAACTGAACTGCCGGAAGGCGTCCAAAGTCCGAAACTGGCCCCAGGGAGGGAATGAGTCCAAAGCGATGAAGTCATCGGGAGGGGAAAACGGTGGGGGTGATAGGGGGAGAGTTGTGTATCAAAGTACGCGTGGAAAGGAGTTATCTAAGCACTAGCGCCGTACACATCCGCCCTGACGCACCCTTCCCTCTCCCCCCCTTCAATACCCTCTAATAGACACCACACACCCGACCCGGGCGACAGAGGCCCCTGCCCCGACCCCCTCAACTACCCCCCCGCACCTCCGCCGTGAAAGTGACCCGTGGGCCCGCCGCCAGTGTGTCCCTGTACAGCAGTGATACGACACCGCGACTGGAGATCTTGACTTTCACGACTCCGCCGCCGCCGCCGCCGCCGCTCCCTCTGCCGGTGCCGGTGCCGGCGGCCGCCTACTTCCCCCCCCCCCATGTCCCCGCGGGATGGAAAGGCACACAAACATACATATGTACATAGATAGATATATATACATAGTTTTACATGTATCCATACATATGTGGCTCCTAAAAATCATGTGCGCCACTAGTCGATCGGTAGGATATTTGCCTTCCAAGCAAAAGAGCGGGGTTCGACTCCCTGGTGGCGCAGTTCTCATCAAAGCTCAGGCAGTAAAAATTATGGAATTATAGGTGTGAGGGGTGGAGCATGTGCAACGTTATGACTGAGGCGCCACTCCTGGCATTGGCCAAGCACCTTTCAGAAGTTCAGGAAGTCAGACATATCGCGCCAGCTGAGGCGCTTTGCCTTGAAGCGGTCGAGGGAGAATGAAGATGACCTCCAGCGTACCCGCATCAATATCATCACAACGTCCATGGCACACCCGGCTTTTACGAACACACCCGCACTTGTGTGCGGAACTTGTAACTTGTATATACATACATACGCACACACAGAGGGTACACGAAGAGCCCGGAGAGGCGCGGGCGGGGTTCCTCCCCCAATCAGCAGGGGGCGAGGGAGAGTCCACAACCCGGAGTGTTGAGTGGATATATATATACCGCAAGTCGAACTTACAAAGTCTAGCGTTGCGGTATATTTCAACACTCCATACACGCGCCGTACGCCGTACGCTGTACGAGCGATGTGTCACCCCCTTCCCCTCCTGTTGTAGCGCGTTAGAGCGTTACAGAACTTAATCGCTGTGTGATTAAGACACGACTTGATAAGACTGATCTACGAACAGTCTACGACTGAATATCTTGGAGTTTAGGAGAGTGTTTCCTAACCAAGCAATGACACGCACTTGTGATACCACCAGACACATCGGTTTGGGCAACCAATGTAGACCTGATGAGACATCGTACAATAGAAGTTGTTACGGCCTCCTTAGCAACGAGTATTTATACTCGGGAGGAAGCCTGGGATAGATATCTTCCGATATAGTGAGAGAGATTCTAGAAGCCTACGCGCCTAACGCTCCTTACTCAGAACAGAGCCCAGACCTTGACGGAGCGAATCCGTCCCGTAACCTGTCGGCTCTCGCCGATGTTATGCGCTAACACCTCCCCAACCTAGGGCTAAACACGTGAACACTCGACTGGCCAGTGGCAGCCAGCGGAACTACCATCACCATGGCGTCGTCGTTGGGTTGAGGGGCCTGACATCATGTGCTTGTGAAGGACGGAGAATACACACACACATACATACACACACGCACCCACACACGTGGCTCAGATTTCCAACACGTGCACGCGGGGGACTAGGGCCCCGATCAGCGCCACCCGCATCCTTCGTTGCCTAACTAGGTCATACGGGTTACCTTTTTCGGCACCTTGAAACTCGCCCCAATAGCGAACGCCGGCGGCGCCGCCGCCGCTGCGGCCGCACGTGCCGTGCCGGCGCCAGATTTGCCGCCGCCGCCTCCGCTAGCACCGCCACCATTACCATCACCAGCAGTAGCCGGCGGCGGCGGCGGGGCGAAGAACGCCTCCATCGCCGGCTTCAGATCCGCCACCGCCTCTAGCCCCAATGCCACGCCGGGCTTAAGGCTGTAGCCGTACAGAAGTGTCGCTTTGCCGCCGCCATTGCTACTACTGCCGACGCCGACGACGCCACTGCCTCTGAGCTGCAGCTCGACATGCTGCCTCTCGTCATGCCAGGCGGCGGCGGCAGTCCAACTTGTTACGCGCAGGGCGGAGGAACTGTACGCCGCCTCGCCGCCAACGTCCACCTGTGTACGACAGTACGACAGAAGCCTGGCTCCGAGCGCCATGCCACCAGCAGAGCGTGTCTAAGGTATGCGGGCGGCCCGCGTGTATGTTTTTCCTCATTCTGTTTGTACCCCTTCTTGCCACCCCTTCTTCCCACCCCTTCTTCCCACCACGCGTTGTCCCGTCGCCGCCTAAATTTGAAAGTCACTTCGCCATCCCCAACACAACGCCTTCCCCCATAATTTATTTATTTATAAAAGTAAACAATATAAATAAATAATCATGATAAAAACAAATAATAACAAATAATAAAATTGGTAAAATAACCAAGAAAGAAAAAAATTAAAGACAGGACCACCTCTGTTCCCTTCTTCCCAGCTCACCCGGCCAGTCCCCCCCACGGCGGCGGCGCTAATCAGCGGTTTCGGCCCCAGTGAGGAGCTCGTCTTGATGTGCAGGTAGTTGCCCACGTAATCCAGTGTCACCTGCCGTACGCCCGTGTACCCCGCACGGAACACATGCATACATACGCACATCCAGGCAGAACACGAACGACGAGTTAGAAAAAGGTCCAAAGGAAGGTATTGCGGAAGGAGCCGTGTCGCAGTACGACAAGTGTACTGCCCGCACACTCCTCCCCTAAAACCCCAACGGCCAACGTACCTTGGGCGGCCACACCTTCGACTTCTCCGCTAGTGCCGGCACCGACGCGACGCCCCCCAGCACCAGCTTGCCCGCTTGGCTACCCGGCGGGGCGGTCGGCTCAGAGCCTCTGTCTGCTGCTGCTGGTGCTGGTGCTGGTACTGGCACTGTGAAGGTATGGCTGACAGTGGCCTACATGGCAGCGTGAATGCGGGAGGTAGGCCAGGCACACAGGCACACAGGCACACAGGCACACAGGCACACAGGCACAAGCGCAGGGGGCTGAGAGGGCGAGGAGAATTCACGAGAGGACGTGTTCACGAGAGGGCAGCGAGCGGCCAAACGGAACCGGGATGTGCTGTGGGCCGGGTATGTGCTGTGGGGGGTTTATGGCTTCTAAAGAGATTTTTAGGGGGCTTTAGGCTACGTGTGGGCGCGAGGGCGGCTGGTGAGAGGGGAAGAAGAAGAAGAAGAAGAAGAAGAACAAGAGGCGCGCTACCCTATTCAACAGCAGGTCTAGTGGGAAAGGGATGAGGGGGAAAAGAGAGAATGGGGTGAGGGGTGAGGGGTGGGGGGGAAATATCTGGAGGGGGCGTTTGGGGGTTGTGTGTGTGTGGGGGGGGAGAGAGGGGTGTGTATGTGCTTAGGGCGGGGAGGGGCCACGAGCCCGGGCTCCAAACCCTCGCGGACCCTCGTCGTACTGCCGTACACCTCACATCGGTGATGATACAGCAATTAGGGTGGGGTGGGTTTGGGTGGGATGTGGGTCTTTGTTCGTTTCTAGTTGGGTAGTGTGTACAAACATGCGCGCGAAAAATCAAGAGACATCTTACCTCTGCCACGCCCCCTGTTGTGACGAGCAGGTCTGCCATGAAGGGTCCCGTACGGGAGGGGGAGGTGAAGCTGGCGAGAAGCTGCCCCGCCAGGGGCCCCGAGCTGCCCCTGCAGCACCGGCGAATGACCACCACCACCACCACCACCACCACCACCACCATCGTTCAATCACCCCTTGCCTTCACCCCCTAGTCGCCATAATAATTATCTCAACATTATTATGATAACTGATTATACATACCGCCGCGATCACGACTAATAACATATTTTTTGTGATTACCAGCTACATACGACAGAAAAGACGGAAATTGTCAGGAAGGGAAAAAAGATCAGTTCGTGAACAATTAAAAACAATTACTGACAAACCGGTGTGTGTGTCAATCAGGCAATCAGTGTTCAGGTGAGACTGTTGAGTTGATGTGGGCGCCATCGGCGGTCCAGGGAGAGTCCCTCCCCCTAACCCCTCCCCCCTCCCCTTCCCCTAACCCCTCCCCTGCCCCTAACCCTTCTTGGTGTCTCCTTTATTTATTCATTCTGGATACCACCAGCACCCCGCCTCCGACTTACGACTTACGACTTACGAAGAGGTGGTGGTGGCTGTGGTGGTCAGGGACAGACCACGACCGTTCGTGCTCGAGATCATGAACTTGGACACGCCGGCGGTGCCGTACAGGCCCTCCACGCGATTGCCGTACAACACGTCCTTGGCCAGCTGGCCGAACTGCGCCAGTGACTTGACTGGGCATGGCGGAGGTGGCTGCGAGGGTGGTGTTACTTCGCCTGGGTTCCTGTTCGGTGGTAGACAGTACGGCATGATTCAGCGGAGGAGCCTCCAATGCAACTATATTGGAGGGAGAATTGAGGAGGAGAAGAACTTGGGAAAAGTACATGCTTTGTAAAGGCTAAAGCAGTGCCGCTGTTAGGAATTTTGAATTTCTAAAGGACTAAGGAAGGACGTTGATTTTCACAAAAAATTGGCAGCAAAATGGTGTCTCGTGGCGTGCTCTGTGATCGGACGAAAGCTGAAAACGCAGACTGCGTCAGGTTGGCAGAAGTAGAGCCCGTAGAGCCAGCCAGCCGCTCTGTGCAGAAGACAAATTGATACAAAACCAACTGTCGATGCGCCTTCAAGGAAGTCACAGATTTTTCTTTTGTTGGAGAATTTACGTTTTGCTTTGAGAGGAGGCTCTGGACGGAAGGCTTGCGTGCACGTCTTGCAGCAGGGCGGCGCGTCAACAAAAGGTGGCGCCGCCTGAGCTCGCGGCCACCTGGCCAAAGCTCATTCCATACCAAAGCAACCCCTATAAGCCGCTTACCGTTGTTGTTGTTGTTGCTGTGCCGTGTCCGCCATTTCCTCTGTGGCTTACTTTTTTTTGTTGCTGTAGGCAAATTTCTCGTTGCGTCTGCGAGTATTTATTTGGAAATCCCTCCCTCAGGAAAGTGACGACAGTAAAAGTCAGCCAGCTCGCAAAAATGGAACCAGCGCGTAACCATACATGGAATCATATACAACATTTACAAAGCCCCGGAGGCCGCCGGGCGGATGCCGTCACAGGAACTCCATCTTTATTTCCTTGTCCGTACCACAAACACTACTTACAAAAGGCGCGCAAAATGTTCGCGACCTTTTGTATCATGCAATAGGAAGAAACGACGACCGATCATATCTTAGCTACCCGGAAATTTAAAGATGGCGAAAAGGCGAAGAACGCCCCGTGGCCGAATACATCCACCTACCGACGGCTGGACCCATGGGTCAGTAAGACCCTTGAATTTTCGTTATTCTTTTGCCTTGTGCCCAAATGCTACTCATATATTATTGCTGGCAGCTTGAAGCAGTGCTCAGCGCTAACGAAAAAAAATAGTTGCCCACATAATGAAATTCTTAGGTGCACTCGTGTCCCCTGTCGTGTAACGAGCTCTCGAGTCCCTTACACGATATCGATAAAGGGCGCTGTTAAGCTGTCAACTAAACAATCGAAGGTTCTAAGGGGCTGCCAACGGCTCCGAAAGGGCGACATAGGGCCCGTGAGTGCAGGAAGCGACAGCTTGTTGACTGGAACCGCATCATGATTACAGACACGCTGCCGATTTACTCTCTCGCATCGTGTATGTAAGTATGTATGTTGTTACAGGTTGGTTAACTTCGCCAGCGGCCCCTTTCCCGGGCAGTCCCTGCTCTCCCCTGCTAGACGGGCACCCTAATCCGTCACCCCATCCGACTTCAGAATGTATTCGTTGGGTTCGGCAACTCACCACCAGCATCCAACCAAATCTAGCGGATCAACGGCGCATCAACTTCGTTCCTGGTCAGCTTGCAAGTTGATTTTATCACGTCCTACATCGTCCATATGATGGGGGGCCACCTCCCATTTCATCACTCCTTAAGCACCCCAGGAGCCGGCAGGCGGATTTGAACCCGGGTCGGCCGGGAGCAGAAGTCAGGCCTTAACCTCTGCCAGCCGCCTGCCTTTATATATGTATGTATATACGTATGTAAATGTCCTGTTGCCCGGCCCCCCAAAGCACCGCCGCGCGCGTGTCTCACTCTCCCCCCCCCACCACCACCACCTCGGCCTCCACAGGCACAGCCGGCAATCTGAGACCCACCATCCCGCCCTCCTCCATCCTGCCGTTCAACAGGTACGACAACGGTGCCGCCGCTGCAGCTGGCTGCGGCCGCGACGGCAGCCACTGCTGCTGCTGCAGCGGCGGCGATGATGATGCTGGTGCTGGTGCTGCCGCCGCCGCCCCGACTAGCCCCGGCAGCCGAACCTCCCGGGCGCCGTACAACTCGCTGCAAACCTCGAGGATCTGCTCATATGTGTCGTACTCGAGAACGCCGTACCGGGCCGACAGCGCGTCGTAGCAACTTATCTCTGCCTGCTGGAACTCGTCCGATTCCGGTCCCAGTACGGCCTGGATTCCGTACAGGAGCCGTACGGCGCAAGCGACCGCCAGATCAGATCCCGGCGCCACCGCCGCCGCGACCTCCTGCGCCTGCGCCAGCAGATCCACGTACGGCAGCAGGAAGCTGCGGGGAAGATCCTCCACGCGCCAACGCCGCGCCGCCACCGCGCGCATAGTAGCCGCCGCCAACATCGGAGGCTCCGCCGCCGCCGCCGCCGCCGCCACGGCAGCACCGCCGCCGTCGCTAACGACGGTGCCATCATCATCTTCGCCTTCGCCACCTTTAACCCCGGCCGTCGCTTTTTTGTGCAGCGGCAGCGGCCTCCCCTTCGCCTTGCGGCCCTTGCCGCTACTGGCTCCTGCATCCGCGTCCTGCTGCCGCCGCCGGCTTCGTCGCGGCGATTGTTGCTGTTGCTGTTGTTGTTGCTGCCTTTCCTGCACAACCTGCAGCAGGCCCAGCGCCCCCACCACCACCAGCAGCTGGTCCAGCAACACGAATACACTGCCTTCCAGCCACAACACCTCCTGCTGCGATAGGACCCCACCGCTGCCGCCGCCGCCGCTGCTGCTGCCATCAGCGCCATCCTCCTCTTCCCTGGCTGTTTCCTCTTCGCCCTCGGACCCCGCCGCCGCCGCCGCCGTCGTCGCCGCTGCCGCACGCAGCAGCTGCTGCCAGCTCTCCGACAGGTAGCCGTACAACTCCGAAAGCTCTTCAACAAGCTCCGAAACCGGTTCGTCCTGGGGGACGGCAAACGCGGGGCCACTGCCAAACGGCGGCGGCGGCTGCGCCGCCGCCGCCGCCGTCGCCCATCTCCGTCCCGTCAGCATGTCGTACAGGTGCGGCGCCGCCACGCGGCTGCAGGTAGTATGCAGGTTTTCTATAAAACCTGGCAGCTCTTTCGGAATCTTGGCCGCCGCCGCCGCCGCCGCCGCCACCACGTCTTGTTCCCCTCCCCCCGCCTCCCCTTCCCCCTCCCCCTCCCCCAACCCCGCAGCTTCCAAAACACATCTTTCACACGCACACACGAACCCGTAATGCTGGCGCAGGTAGGCGCGACGAAGCTCCAAGGGGCCCAGAGCGCGGCGGCCAAAGTAGCTGATCGTGACCTGCTGGCCGGCGGGCAAGTCGGCGGCGGCGCGTACGACCATGACGTCACCCACTAGGCCGTACGACGCCACAGGCGCACAAGAGTGATTGATGAGACTGAAGGGCGGCCAGAGCCCCACACAGCCGCTCAGGAGCTCCGCGGAGAGCGACCTGCGTCGCCAGGATTTGGGGGTTTAGGGTTTTCGGGTTTTCCATCTTTTATTTTTCTGAGTGTTGAGGGTGGGAGGGCCCAAGGTTTCACAGGCTGTCAAGTGGCGCGGTGGCGCATGACGTGATTTTCGTGCAGTAGTTGTTGTCGTACGACGGTGTCAACCCTACCGTCCTACCTCTCCCCCCCTTCCCCTCCCCACTGACCTGACGGCCGACACCGCTGGATCTGGTTTGGATTCTCCGTACGCGTTAAACGTCACCACTCGGGCCACTGCCTCGTCAGGCAACGGACAACGAACGCCCAACTGCCGCCGGCCGGAGGAAGCCCCCCCGGCAGCCTCCTCCTCCCCCTCGTCCCCCTCGTCCGGGGCGGCAGCTGCTGTGGCGCCGAAAGGCTGCGGCAAATCGAGAGTGCGGCAGCGGCGATGGAGGTCGACGGACGGAAATAATCATCGATATCTATGCGGGGGAGGTTGTAACGGGGGAGGTTGGACACTGTAGGACTGTGTGACCGTGGGCTGTGTACGAGGCCGCGTGGAGATGTCGAAAAGGGTGGCGGGGTGATGTGTGGACTTGCAAATGCCGTACCCCTCGTACAACGTTTCCTGTATCGGCTTTTGGGCACCGTCGACGAAATGAACTTACACATCCAGACACCGCAAGTGCCGTACATTCACCACCGGCAATCCCTCCAGTTCCACCCAGGCGGACGCAGTAGCTCCTACTCCTACTCCTACTCCTAGTCATGTTCACGGGGATGAAAAAGGGCCCTCCCAGTCTTTCTCTCTCTTCCTCTCTACGTGTGCCTGCCTCTCTGTTTTTTTGGTGTGTATGTATGTATGTATGTATGTATGTATGTATGTATGTATGTATGTATGTATGTATGTATGTATGTATGTATGTATGTATGTATGTATGTATGTATGTATGTATGTATGTGTGTGCGTGTGTCTTGTGTGCATCGAAGCGTGAGGGCCCCCTACCGAATATTCAATAACACGGGCTCCAACCCTCCCTCCGCAACGCCTCAGGAGCCGCACGGGCAGCAGCAGCAGCCGTAGCAGTAGCAACAGCAGCAGCCGTAGCAGTAGCAACAGCAGCAGCAGTAGCAGTAGCAACAGCAGCAGCAGTAGCAACAGCAGTAGCAGCAGCAGTAGCAGCAACCTATCAGGGAGAAAGCCCGGAAAGTCTCACCACCCGGAACAACTGCCGCAACTGACCCAGCCGCCTCCGGGTACGGCTGCTGCCCCCGCCGCCACTGGGCACGCCGTCGCCGTCGTCGTCGTCATCGCCGTCGTCAACGCCGTCGTACAGTGCCAGCATCCAGGCCGCCGCGAGGGGACTCATGACGGCGCCGTCTAACGCATGCGCCAGCTCTAAAGGTGACGGCGGCGGCGCCGCCGCAGGGCCGGCGAAAGATGGGTCGCTGTGATGACCCACGGGTCGGCCCCGTAGCATCGCCAGCGGGTAGCAGGCCAGCAGCAGCGTGCCGCACGTCACGTCCTTTGTCAAAAACACACCCACGCCGGCATCTGCTGGGGCCGGGGGGAAAAGACGAACCACAGGGGGGGGGCCGCGTGTGTGTTTTACGGTCGCAGGGGGCTACCGGGCGGAGGAGTTACCGGTGGGGAAACCAATACAGCAAGGATTGAAATGAGGCGCGCTAAGGACCCATTGCCGATGGGGTGCGCTGGCGGGCATGGGGGAGTTGCGTTCAGGTGGTAGTGGTGGAAGAACGTTATCGATGTTATTATGGGGATGAGATAGGCGATGGGAAGGCTGGGCTGCAAAAATGTAACGTGCAAGAGCAATTACATATCTCTGAATATTTTGATTTTTGGTGTGATTATCGAAGGGGTTCGGGTGGTTAAATCCTGAGACTTTTCAGCTTGCGCCGTCGTACAATAGTACGGGTCGTACATCGGAACGCTAAATCTTCTCGCTGGTGTATTGCATCCGGTGTCACCACCTTGGCACGACCTTGACTACTTGTGTGATTAAGGATAAAAGTGTAAGCGAGTGTCGGTTTTCTTTTTTTTTTGTAACGGTCCCAGGGGTGAGGCCGGCGGCAGGACCGGGATCCAGGGAGGGATCTTTTAAGGAAAAGGGGGTGAAGAGGGGTGAACGACATTGCTTAGAGTTTCCCACCCGGCACATCTCGCAGCTCTAGCGGGCCCATGTAGTACGGCACTTCCTCGCCGGGAGTGTACAGCAGCTCGTCAACGTCGCCGGGCTGCAGTACTGTAGAGGACTCGGGGCTGCTGGCGGCGGCGGCTGGTGCGTTGGCGGTGGCTGTGGGAACGCTGTGCCGCCGCCGAGCGAGCAGCGCGGCAGGGGGATGGATGGAAGCGGCGGGGTTGGATGAACGTTGTGGTGGTGACAGAGTTATCGTGCGGGTTGCAGCTGTGCAGAGCTGTCTGTGGGTTGATGATGTGCTTGTCGCGGACGGGGAGACCGGTGGTGAAGTCGCCGCAGCTGAGGTGTCGTACAGGCCGCCGCTGCCACGGTGGCTGTGAGCAAAAAGTGCTCCAGGCCGCACTCCTGGGAGGCTTGACCGACAGCTCTGTATCTTTTGGCGACCGCTTTGACACTTATCACGCGCTGCAGGTTTACTAATCGTGGGCTGAATTGCTGCCCATGCCGACAAGCTACTGCCGCCAATATCCGACCGGCAATTGCAGTTGCAGCGATAACTTTGACAAAGAGCTACTGATGACGAGATACTGGGTGACGGCCAAGAAGCTGCGCAAGCTGCAAAAACAGCGGGTGACGGCGTTCGGACTTTGCTATAAGCTGTCGCCAGGTGTCGACAGTCCTGGAAGTTCATTCTCGATACCCGCGAGGTTTCTATCTTCTTGTCGCTTATCACGGTTGCGTGGTGGCCCAGGGGCCGCAGGTTAGCCATGTCAAGCGTTTAGCCATATACTTCATACATATTAAAATACAGGATGAGATATATAGAATTACACTTGTGGTGAAGGCATAGCGGCAAGCAGTCACATAACCGGAAGATGCAGTAAGCGTACGGATTTTCGGTTGGGGAATGGTGTAGACTATGTTGACACTTGTCCGCCCAAGAATGTCGCAAATGCAAATGTATTCTTTCCCACGACGGAGAGTGAGCCCACCTAAACTTAGTGTACAGCATGCTCAAACTTAAGCTTAAATCGAGCCGAATGTAAAAGCACCGCATTCATATTTGCGAACAATATAAAATTTCCAGGTTAAACGTAGGTTTATCAATGGCATTGCTATGACATTCAACTAAGCAAACCTAGGCGGAGGCTGATTCCGCGACGCATCATAAAGGAGGCAGAACCGCGTTGACAACGCAAAGATGGCAGCATCCAACACCAGAGGTTTCCTGTCTTTCAGGTATGTTTACAGTCACTGCTGCTTAGCAGAGACGTATGTGGGCTTTGATCACGCCACGCCATGCGACGCGACGCTATGCCGTACCCTATCCTCCTGTAAGTGTCGAGCTGCAGTTCCATTCGTGCGCATATTTTGCTTCCTCCCCCTTCTCCCCTCATTGCGCTTCATGAAAACCCAACATCAAACTAAAGATCTAATCATTTCGAAATTAAAAAATCACTGGGCGCCGTCTGCCCATGCCCCCAGGTACAAATTAGCTAAGTTTCGGGACGCGGCAGAGGAGTTAGTCTTCTCCGTGTTTCAAGCGAACAATCTGGGCGGTCGGCAGCCGGGCACCGACCGATGGACTCCCCTCTCCCCGAGGTTGCCGACCCGTGGGTCGCTTCATCACTCGGGAGAAGAGCAGGAGAAGAAGAACCCTACAGCAGGCGGGAGCCACAGTAGCGGCGGTAGCAACAGCGGCGGAGTCTTGGGTGTCGTACAAGCAGCGTACCGTCGCGCACGTGAGGTGTACGACGCTCCCCTGACGCAGCACATGTACCTGACGGGTCCCGCCATGGCTCCAACCCTCAACTGGCGAGGCGCCAAGGTGCGCGTGGGGGTGGGGTTGGGAGTGGGGGTTGGGTTGGGTGGGGGTAGGGGTAGGGTGGGGGTTTGGGTTGGGTGGGGTTGGGGGTGGGGTTGGGGGTGGGGAGGAGGCCGCGAGAGGGGGCGGGGTGAAGAGCTCTTATAGCGCCCGACCTGATGTCGCCGGATTGATGGCGTCGCGTTTCGCAGCGTTTGAACTTTACGCAGCTAAATTTCCCGGACCAGGAAAACTTCATCAGGCAGCCTAACGACCAACGAAAGAAAGAAAATATGTAAAAAGGAAGCGACATGTAGTAGCACGCGACGACACACCATTAGGAGGGCCGTACGGGGCGTACAACAACGTGTACGGCGAACAACAAAACAGCATATATATGTATATATACAGCCATAGAATTCCATCAACAGGCTTCATGCAGCCGAGAAGTCCTGAGAACGGGGGGCCCGCACCGCACCAATCCTGAAAACAACAAATGTCCGGACAACCTGCTTTGCCAGTTGACCCCGGCAACCCCTAGCTAATTGCGGCGCCCAACTGCGGCGAGTATGAAAGGGAATTGTAACGGAGGTAATGGAGTCAAGGGTGAGGAGGGGGCCCTGGTCCACTTCATGGTATGAGGGCTTGAGGGAGGAGATGAGACAGGAAGAAGGGGAATACGGAGCAGAGAGCGGGTAGAGGAACTGCGGGAAGGCCTTGTGTTGGGGTCCGTGGTTCCCGCCGCCCTCCTCCTCCACCCCTTTCCCCCCGATCCGTCCCTCAGGCGGCAGCAGCAGCAACAACAACAGCTGCTATTAGTGCTGCTGCTACAGCCGCTGATGAGCCAAAAAACCGCAGATGACGCCACTTCATCATTAGCACGTGTGGCCCTTCTTCCCCGCACATCACATACATACATACACACACACCCCTGCCAACAGGACGCCGCCGCCCGGGAACGGTTGGTGGTTCGATTACTCCGCCGCCCGGGGCCCCACAACGTGCTGGTCGGCGATGTGGTGGCCTTTCACTCGCCACTCGCACTGCCGGAAGATGCTACTCATGTGATGGTGAGGGGGGGGGAGGTAGGGGTGCCGTTTCGGGGGTATGCTTCATCGGGGGTTGGGTGGGTCGGGGGGGGGGACTTGACCTCCCGGGTGCGTTGTACTCCCCCCTGATATTACTGAGCGCCACGCAACACCCTGGCCGGGTTAGTTGGGTGGGGTAAGTGGGGGTTAAGGGGGGGGAAAGTGCGGGTAGTAGGGTTGTGTTTTTTATCATCTCGTCCCACGCGCACACGCGTCCCTGAAGCATCCCTACCTCTTCTCCACCGCCCGTACGAATCCGTACATCCATACAGCCATCCATACACGAATCGCCACCCGCACAACCCCAGCTTCTTAAACTATGTGTACCCACTCGCGGAGGCGCCTTGACCATTATTCTTTCGTCGTCTGCCAGTCGTCGTCCAACCCGTCACGGCCCATTCTTTTCCCGTCCCCGTCCTCCCCTTCCCCCATACACATGCACACACCTGCTCCCTCTTCCGAGCACACGTAGGTCCGGCGGGTGGCTGCGGTGGAGGGCGACGAGATGGTTTCCACCTCCCCCACGGAGACCCCCTTCATCATCCCCCCCGGACACTGTTGGGTGCTGGCGGATAATTCCGAGTTGCGGCCCGAGGCGGGAGAGGTCATTGACTCCCGCTCGTACGGCCACATCCCTTTTTCGGCGGTCATCGGGAGGGTGGTGTACGCCGCCTCGTCGCGAGCGACCCACGGGCCGGTGCGGAATAACCCGGCACACAGCGAGGCTGGGGGGGAGGATGCGGCGGTTGTGGCGGTCGAGCTAGATGTGGAGGAGCTTCTGCAGGAGGAGGAGCGGATTGAGAAGGGGGAGGACTGGGAGGAGGAGGAGGATGGGGTGGAGGAGGGGGATGGGGAGGGAGAGGGGGAAAAAGAAGGGGAGGGGCAAGGTAGTGGAAAAGGTGGTGGCGGGGAAGGGGAAGGTGGGGAAGGGGAAAGGGAAGGGGGAGGGAAGAAGGGGGCGGGGAACAAGTTTGAAAAGAAGGGAACAGACTCCGACACGTGAGGTGGTGTTCGTTAGGTGAGAGTGAGGCGGTGTGGCGAGGGCTGCGATTTCAACACTGCGTATCAGTATCCTGACCGACATGTAGGGTGTCTGACGTAAGAGGACCGGTGTGGGGTGAGGGTGGGGTGGGAAAGACGAACCACGAACGAGTGAAGCTGCTGGTGGGGTGGGGTGGGGTTAGCGGAGCAGCTTTCCGAATTGCGGCTGAGAGGTGTCTCGAGCCACCGGCTGGCGGGCATAGCTAGGCAGGCAGGACACGTACCTAGCTGGGCAGAGGATGACCATCAGGTTCCCCTCTGTCCCAGGCGTGTCAAGAGCTGGAAGATATTTTCGCGAACCTTCACACAAGGGGATGTGTAGCTGGGCTGAAGCTTGCAGTTAGGTAAAAGCTACTTAAAGGATTTGGGACAGGGAAGGCTTACGAAGCCCTTTTGCCCTCACAACAGCTTTTTACGGGGGCTGCACATGGATGTGCGAACACGGTGCTAGAGCGTTGCTAGCATGCAGGACGTGCCGCGCACACAAGCGCATACAGCGGCTGAGGCCCTCTTGTTCGATACGCGCCTTTCCAGCAGGTGTGACATGAAACAAATGTCGTTTATCCGTACAGATTCTTCGTCCGTATGTCCCCCTATCCTCTTCAAGCAATCCGTCTGCAGATGATGGTTCACCAAGTCCAATTAGCGGTAATGATCTTTTTCCAGTTAATGAATCGGTACTAAAAACAATTGGACGAACCTCCGACAATGTGGGATATCATTTGGGAATCGTCGACGCTCTTAATCACACGCACACACAAGCACAGACGGTAAAATAGATGCGTCGTCAGGATGACGTCATGATATGATTGCCTCTACGAGTAGTTAGTTTGCTGCAGCTTTCCTTCTTTGACCAGCACCCGAGATCTGTACCGCACACAGCTCCCCGTACCAGCTACTACTCCGAAACCTGTATGTAGGCAGGAGTATCCGCCAACAACCTATTGATTGATAAAAAAACTGCACCACACCCGATTCGTTCGCGAGCGCCGTACTAGCTACTGCTCTGAAACCTAGCTGTACAGTCGTACCAAAGCCGCGTCCTTGTGGATGACACTTTTAAGAGGTGGATGCATCAAGGTAGCACAGCCGTCTCATCCGCCTTCCTTTCCCCAGCCGTCTGTCACCCCTTCCACCAGTCCCCATCACCCCCATACCAATATCAGTTCAACAATATCAGTCAGCTACATGTACTCCGCCATTCCGCCAAAGCCAGAGCCCCTCAGGCAACCCCGGGCTCACGATGGGGCCTTCCACGACCTAGCGGCCTGCCGAGCGCACGAATACCTTGTTGCGCCCCCACAATCACTGTTCTACAACCCATCATCCTCCGTACAAAGCCCCTCCGCAATAACACAAATGTCAGAGATAGGGACCCGCGGAAGCTCACACGTTGATCAACCCCACCCGGATTCTAGACACCAAGATGCAGCTGATGTGTCGGACAGGGGGGTCATATCTTCACCCGTGGCCGCTACCCTGGTCGAAACCCTGCCTTCCCCGGTATTTCGGGGCACCCTCATCCAGTCACCCCCTAGCCGACTTCTCCGAATTCAGTGGATCGCTCAGGTTCAGCACCCACCACCGGCATCCAACGAAATCTACCGGTACAACGGCGGCTCAATTCCAATTCCTGGTCAGCTCGCAGGTTGACTTTATCCCAGGTCATCAACGTCCATCGATTAGGGGCATTCTCACCTTCCACCCAATCGGAAGAAATTTTCGATCAATCTTGATCCCGAAACCTCCGGGAGCATCAGCATGTGCGTTACAAGCAATGCCCGAGCAAAATAGGAGCAAATTTCGCTACCGGGACTCGAACCCGGGTCTCGAGAGTGAAAATCTCGCATCCTAACCGCCTAGACTATAGCGAATCCGATGTCGAAAAGGAAGTCCAAGCAAAATACATAACACTGGGTAGCAGCAGCAATGCGAGTCATCCACATCCATCCTACTCGCAGCTCCGTGCGACCCTCTTCCTCTTCCGCCCTACTGCTGCCGGCCCCGGCATAACCCTCATTGGGCCGGCCCCCAGTCCGCCACCTGGCACTCCCGGCAGCAGTACGACACCTAGCCGCAGCGGCCGCACTTGGGCGCCGGCAGCTCCGACTCGCTGTCGCCAGCCAAGTTGGCACATGCGGCGTTTGCGCAATTGCCAGGCGGCCACCACAGCCGTGAAGCCTCCAAAACCAGCGCCCACGGTAGAGCAATCTCCGGCAGCTGGCCCTGCAGTAGCTGCAGGACGCCCTCGGCCCAGCCGTTCTTCGAGCCAGGGCCTCCATCGCGCCTGCAGCAGCGTCCAGGGCAGGGTCATGGCAAGCTCACCACTACAGCCATGCACCCTGTCTTCGTCCAAGGCTACTGCGGCCGCTGTTGCCACTGCCGCTGCTACCAGCAATCGCCCGGAAATCTTGAACTACACCAAGAACCGTTTCCCAACTCCTGAGCAGCCAGGACGGCGACCCCCAGCCAGGCAAGCTCGTCCTCGTTCTCCTCGGCCAACTCTGAGAGCAGCTCTCCCGCGGAGAACAGGACCGGCACAGCGGCCATTAGCTCGTAAAGCAGCCACAAAAGAAAGAACACAGACTTCGTCCCAAACGCCGGGAGCGGCCCACGGGGCTCCTTGCAGCCTTGGTATGGCCAATGGTGGCGGCAGCGGCTGTCACACCACTACTACTGCTGCCTGCCTCCAGGCTGTGCAGCTCGAATCATCAACCCGATTGCACTTTTGTGCACAGCTAATATCCCAACACCTTTGCTACTGCACTCAGCACATGGTACCACACGAATATATAGCTGATAGTGTGCCCCTCCAATGATGTAGCCTTCCTGCTCCAAGCCGGCTGGCTGTCAAAACCCTGGGACAGCGGCTCAGACAGTCCTCTTCAGGCCAGACAAGCACAGATGACACTCTATAACGGTCACCCCCCGACCTCACTGCTGCCTCCAGCCTCCATACACCGTGTTGCCCTCTCGGAACTGATCATTTTTGTGATCGGCGAGGAAGATTGCTGCAAAGCCTTCATGGAACTGCACACTGCACACCACAAGCCAACAGGGATGCCCGGGACATCATATCGCAGGCGGGCAGCAAGACACAACTCCACGTACGCCGAACCCAAAGTATGACCCACCACACCAGGTCCCGATGTAAGCCAAGATTTCATCCATCGCAATCACCACATGAAGGAAATGGCACAACCCTTGTGCCGCACCATGGCAGCATTCCCAGTGGGGGAGCGACCGCTTGGCTGCAGCCTGCATCGCCTTGCAGAAGGGGTGCTTGGTCGGGTTTTCCGATTCACACACCAAATCATGTTACGTAAAATTTGCCATTCTGGCTAACTTTATTGTTGTGTAGCTCGTCGTGTGTGTGTGTGTGTAGTTGTGTTGTAGTGGGCTCGTCGTGTTCTTGGCCAGGGTCGTCAAACGCATAATGCATCCCAATCACAACAACAGGACTCGCTGGCAGATAATAGTACCCTCCTAATTTGCAACACGAATTAGCGGAATCCCACGGGTTTGCATACACCTTTTTCACCCCCAGAAAATTCTTGGGCGGGCGCTCGATGATACGGCCGGACTTGTCGGAGTGGCAACCTTGGCGGGTGGCAACGTTGCGGAGCGACGGATGCTTCGGCAACGGCCAGCTGCCGCTTTGTCAACAAGTATATGTCATAGGCATGGCTTATCATAATGATGCCGTAAAGTCCTGCTTGTGTCATTGCGAGCCAGAGGGTTGTCGGCGAGCAAAACCAGAGCTTTTTGACTGCAGTCAAAAAAGCAGTTGCGTCCGCCTTGTCACGGGCGGACAGCTCGATGATCAACGCTTCTATGTCGACCAAAAGGCTCGCGTGAAGGTCGCATAATAAACGTTTATTCCCCAGTACTGAAATATGAAATTGGGAAATTTAGTCTTTCCTCTCATTCCTGCGGCTTACACTTGCCCTGTACGACCCTGCCGTATGCATCATCGACATTCGACTCGAGTCGCTCTCGACAAATATACAGAAAACCTTGGTTTTCTTTCATTTCACTTAAAACTCTAAAGGTTTTTTTTCCTTCATAATATTGATGGCTCCTATCTTTTGTGTTTGTTGACATGTAAAATTAGATTGGCAAGCTTCAGCGTGCCCAACTCAAGTCGGCCGGCAGGTTGCGGTGCAGATGCAGTGTCGAAGGTTTAGCAGGCAAAGCATGGGGGAAACATACGTGGGGAGGGTGGGAATTCAAGTTCAAAATACCAACGGTCGTGGGTGGGGAGGGGATGTACTCGCTCACGCGCGCGGACAACCGACACTTAATACAATATTCTTGCGTTTCGCATGGAACGGGCGACATCACTATTTTAGGACAGTAGCAGGATTAGCAAGGACATTTTTTGGAGCGGACCGTTGCATATGCGTCATGCAATCATGCAAGCATGCGTCAGCAATTCGTCGGGGCCAAGCCGCGCGAGGGCGCACCCCTTACGCGGACTCCTATTCCTGGAGATGCCAAGAGAGCTGCTTACGGCAGCGGCAGCTATTGATTCACCGGAACAATAAGATGCCGGATCATTGCCACAGTCCATGCGGCCTATCGTAGAGACGCTGTTGTTCACTGTTGTCACACTATTACCTGCCCTCTGACAATAATCGGCGGCGTTTGCTTCTCAGGGACTGTGTCAAACCCCGTCTGTCATGTCAGGGCCGTCAAGATTAGCACCCCCAAAAGAAAATGTTTTAAAAGGAAGGACGAGCAGGAAAACAGTAATCGCTGACTTCCCTCTGCGCAGCGCGACCATTAAGCTTTCCTCCAGCATCGCCCAGACAGGCAGGAACTTCCAAACTCTTTTTTCGTTGCAATAATGGCGCCTTCTCCAGCCAGCCAGCGCGCGGCCCGGCTGCGACCTATGCAGCAGCGCACCCAGCCGCGATATCAGTACTATCTCTCGCTGCCATCCGCGTATCACCAAAATTACCAGCAGGCGTTAGGGAAGCATCAGCCGCAAGGGCAGCAACAGCAGCAGGGACAACAAGCGCAAGAGCAAGAGCATCAGCAACAGCAGCAGCTGGAGCAGAAGCAGGAGCAGGAGCAGAAGCAGGAACGTCTCTGGCCGCTCATCCTGTTCCTGCATGGCGCAGGAGAGGGCGGCCCGGGCGGACTTGAAAAGGTACTTCTCTATCTATCTGAAGCCGGGCAGCCGGGCAGCCGGGCAGCGGCAGTAGATATATAGCAGTGCTGCGCAGCTAATTTGTTTACCACACGGACAAGCGCATAGTTTTACAGATGAAGCTAGAAAATAGTTGTGCAATGGACGGCTGCGTGCGCACGCCTCACCGCATGTTTGAATGGGTTTGAATGGGATGAATGGGGAAAGAGAGGGTGCCCTATCCCCTTGTTTTAGGGATTTTGGGTTCTTGGTGCCAGGTGGTGCCAGGTCGATGCAGCGGCAAACGCAATGCCGCTCCATGGGGGGGAGCCCTGGTGTGTAGGGTTGTTCCTGACATTAGAATGTTTTCCGTTCTAATCTAATTCTAATATTAGTTCTAATTAGAAATTAGGATCTAAAATTAGAAGACGCTCGACAACTTTTCAGGGAGGGGTCCGTTGAACCTGAAATTTTGTATAGGCCATCACAGATGTAACCGCACGCATTTCCAATTAAATTTACTCCGGTCGGGTGCCTGGGGAGGGTACCTACCAGCCAAACCCACGCCAGACTTGCTACGGAAACAACCAAGAACGCCGCCAAACCTGTCCTTTTAAGTCCCTACTTGCACAGAATCACCACATAACTGCCGGGGGAGTGTTTGCTCGCTAAGGGGAATGCAAAAACACAGAGAGGAAGGGCTAATCTGGTGCCTGCTAGCCAAACCCACGCCAGACCGCTGCGGAAACAACCAAGAACGCCGCTAAACCTGTCCATTTACGTCCCTATTTGCACAAAATCACCACATCACTGCCGGGGAGTGCTTGCTCGCTAAGGGGAATGCAAAAACACAGAGAGGAAGGGCTATTCTGGTGCCTGCTAGCCAAACCCACGCCTGAATGGAGACTGCTGCAAAAACAACCAAACCTACGGCCGCTGGTTTGAAACGAACACAAACCACTCCCGCGGAAGCCAATGAATAAGTACTTCACTCCCCGGCCTCCTCCAGCAGCTTCATCACCACCTCCTCATCGTTCGCACCGAAGCGGCCCTTCTTGACGTTGAAAGAAGTCCAATAAGCTGCAAGACCCTTCTTCTTTGCGGAGGTCAGAGCTTCTGCATACGCTTTTGCATCAAGTTCCTTGTTGCCATACTTGTACATTGGCCCTGATGCTTCCGCCTTCCCGGGAGGAAGGGGTGGCTTTGATGGCCCCGCACCTCTATCTGACATTTTCGTGTAAAATGCACGCAGTAGAACCGCTGATGCGCCTTAAAGCTACGGCTTTCCGGCCGTTCTAATGTCCGTACGACATTAGGATGTTCTAATACGTTCTAAACGGGGTCTTCTAAAATTCTTATTAGATTCTAATTATATTTTTTCTAATGTTAGTTCTAATTTTCTAATGCCGGCACAACCCTACTGGTGTGGCATCTGGGTTGGCATCTGGGGGAGGGGTGGGAGGGATGGGCGTTTATGGGGGAGCATGTACGTGTGAAGCGTGCTAGTGGCGGCATTGCGCACGACATACAGGCATACAAAAACGTACGTGGCGTTATGTTTAGTTGGCGCTAGCTAACGATACCCCTACTGCAGTGTGCTGCGTGTGGCAGGAAGGGGCGCGACATGTGTGGAAGTTGGCGGTTATAACTGTTCTGGCAGGATGACGTGCCGTGTGAACTATGCATTGAACTATGGGTCCACGTACATGCTGAGTGACCCATGCCGTGTTTCGCCGCCCCCGACGTGTACTTCATCCTTCTCCCACCTACAGGCGACTCCCGCTCCTTCCATTTCCCGTCACCCATTCATCCCTCCCTCCCTCCCTCCCTCCCGCCCTCCCTGGATATACGGATCGGCTCGTTCTGCTGCGTATCTGTGTGTGTGTGTTTGTGTGTGCGTTACATGGTTGGGGGTGCGTGACCCCATACCTGTAAAACTACCCATACGAGCCGAAGGCCCAAGCGCAATATAACTCCCGCCCCCTCCCCCGCCTCCTCTTTGAACCGGCCGGCGGCGGAATTCATCTCTAATTTCCTTGTCATATGATTCTCCCCCTCCTCCTCCTCTCTCTTTCCATCCCCCCCCCAACCCCCCCCCCCGGAAGGTAAAGCTCCACGGCGTTCCTCGTCTGGTGGCGGCCCATTGCGGGGAGGAAGCTGCACGGAAGGCCGGCAGTCGCCCGGAGCCCGTCAACATGGAGTGCGCGGAGCTGGTGGGTGAGGGAGCCATCACCGTGTCGCCCCAGGTAGGGGGGTTAGGGGTAGAGGTAGGGGCGCATACGGAGCGCAAACATGGGCACAAAGTCGTCGGGTCGCCTACCTGGCTTGCTGCGGCTATTAGCTGAATGGTAGGTGGTGTGCGACCGCGACCCACTACCCGGTTCGCCTCGCTCAGCAGCAGCAGCAGCAAATGTAAATGCAATCAGCTAGCCGGCCCCCAGCAACCTTCCCCCACTCCTTTGTTCCTATTTCCGTCCGATACAACGAGGTTCATCTACGCGCGTCTGTATTTCTCGCTTCCCGCTCATTTCCGCGCATTCCCATTTGTCGATTTTTTGAATAAACGCTCCGTGCTTATTCACGGACCACCTTCACTGGTGTCGGCGTATCTGTGACATTATCAGTATCATTATTCTGTAGGTTGATTATTCCCGTCATGGCTACGGATGGCGACCCGCTGGTTTGATGACGCTGTTGGATGAGATCATCTTCGGACCTCCGAAACCGACAGCGGGGTCAACCCGCAGCGGTAGCAGGGAGGGACAACAGCGAAAGCGGTGTGAGGCCGCCTCCTCGCGGCAGCAGCAACAGCAACAAGGTGGCAGTAGCAATAGCAGCGGCGGAGGCAGCGATGCCAGCGGTGCTGCCGCCGGTAGCAGCAGCAGCAGCAGCAGCGGAGGCAGCAGCAGCAGCGGCAGGGGCAGCGGCGGCGGCAGGGGCAGCGGCGGCGCCGGCGCCGCCCCCGCTGCAGAAAGCTTGGAGAAGGAGACGAAGAAGGAGATGAGGAAGAAAGACGAAGAGGAGGATGACGAGGTGAAGCTGCCGCTTCGCGTGGATCCAGATCGGATTTACGTTACGGGCATTTCCATGGGTGGGTACGGCACCTGGGCGCTGGGCGCGGCCTACCCGGAGGCGTTCGCGGCGTTGGCGCCGGTGTGTGGCGGTGCGGCGACTGACCCACGGGTCTCTTCCCTTGCGGCGCTACGTGACATGCCCATCTGGAACTTCCACGGCGAGCGAGACAAGGTCATCCCGATTTCCGCCAGCGAGGAGGTGTTCCGAGCGCTGGAGGTACGGCAAACGGGGGGAATGCTTATGGGCTTATGGGACAAGGAGCTCAAAAAAATAACCTCTGTTCCTTTTAAAAAAAGAGGGAAACTAGATTTAGCCAAGGTTTACTTCTACTGGGTTCATATAGTCGCAAATAAACTGGTCTTTGGAAATTAGGTAGTTGTAATGGCGCCCGTATCGTGCTTGATTAATATGCTTGAGTCGGAGGGTGATGTGCGTGTGTGTGGTGGTGTGTGTGGTGTGTGTTGGCATGGGGTCACGCAACCCCAACCATGTAACACACACATACATACATACACACATACATACACATACATGAGTGACATACATACACGTCATAACGGCACATGTGTGCCGCTAAACCCGCACCACGGACCCCCCCCTAGCCCCCTCGAGGGGTAACCCCCCACCGCCCCGCCTGCTGCCTGCCTGCTGCCGGTTGTAATCTTGCTTCCTGCTCGGTCGTTGCGTGTAGGAGGCTGGTGCGGGCCGCGCCGGGTCCGCCAGCGGGTCCGTCCACCGCTTCACGCGCTACAAGGACCTGCAGCATGACTGCTGGACCCGGGCATACAACACGGCTGAGCTGTGGAGGTGGATGGTGCGGCAGTCGCGAGTTGGTAGCGACAGACGCCGCGGCAGCAGCGGAAGCGGTGGTGGTGGTGGTGCATGAAGCGGAATGAACACCCACAGCGCGCACCCTCATTAAAATGTAATATTATATGAGAAGATGCTGTTAGATACCTGTATGCATGTGCGAACAACTACTGTTGCTGTTGCTGCTGCTGCTTTTCGATAGATTGGCTGTAATGTACGAGATTTCCAGTGTTGATGTGTGGCCTTACGACTACTGCTGGCAGGCAAAGCGCGAGCAGCACGGAGCTAACAGATTGCTGTAGCAGCAAAGTTGTTGTTGATGTTGTGGGGGCAGAACTACTCTCCGAGGATATCCCCCAGAATCACCCTACTTCCTGCACGCAGCACTCGGGAACACAGACAACACCTCTGTTGGAAACGGCCATCAATCCACACCACTAATTTTTCCTGCGGCAAAACAATCCACTTGGAGTGCAAATCCTTCATCAACCACTTCATCACCCAGACGATTCGTTGCCTCGTTTTCAGCTGTCAAACTGCTACCGGATTGCTCAGTTGACAGATAGGGCCTTGGGCGAGAAATACAACAGGCACGAAGAACGCTCTACGAAACAATCAATATACCAAAAGCTTCATGAAAGATGAAAGCATCACATGTTTGTAAAGCACAGCTTCGAAGGCAGAAGGCCCCACTCCCCTATTGATATCTGTGTGCCTTGCGATTAGGCTTCATAATTATACAAAAAGTTTAACCTCCATCCCTAGCTGCTGATATCGCAATCCTTGTCCACTGCGGCCACCACTACTCACATACTTATTACTATTTAGGCCGCGGCGGTCCGCTGTGCAAGCTGTCGCCGTACGCGCCTGCTGCCCTGCCTCACATATATAGCGGGGTAGCCTCAGTCTAGCGCACCCAGGTACGGGACGCCGCCTGATTCGGCAGCTGCAAGCCACCTCCTGCGCAAGGCAGCAGCAGCAGCGGCAGCAGCAATAGCAGCAGCTTCCGCCGGTTGTATCCGTACAAACGACCTTCCATTATTCGCCATACATCGGAGAGGTTCATTGGCGGTCTGCAGCCCTCCAGTATCACCGGGGAACGAGCACCTGCACCCGCTGGCGGGCCACCCTTGGTAGATTCCTCATTGGACCGCATCCGGGGGGTGAGACATATGTACAGACTTACATAGCCAAGCTGCTACTTCTGCGGCCCAACCAGCAGCTAGTAGCAGCAAACATCATCCATATCTACCCCCGGCATCATTCCTACTTAGGGTATGGTTCATGATGATAGCCAATCATCACGTTTAGCAAACAAGCAAGCCAAGCACTCGCTCCTAGTCAAACGATTTCGCACTACGGGAACCTTCCTTCATAGGTCCGCTGCTGCTGCTGCTGCTGCTGCTGACGACGACCGACCGGGCTGCCCTCATCCATCGCTTGCTCCATCCGTTAATTATCTATTTGTCTAATTATCTAATTGAGTGTATATTCATAAATCTCCCTCCTACACGATATATCACTTGAGTGTTGCTCCTTCATTGATCACGCACCGGATCATGCAAACAGCGATACGATACAAACACGAGTGCGGTCGCATGCGAGCAATGGCAGCGGTCGCGGCGAGACGTAGGGCCGTGCCAAGCAACTGCAGCAGCAGCAGCAATAGCAGCAATATCAACAGCAGCACCTCTACCCTGATCGGCAGCGCAGCTGCAGCACGGCTTCTGGTAGCCCTCCAGTTGTTGCTGCTGCTGCTGCTGCTGCTGCAGCCGCTGCCCCCAGCCACGGCTAAGACAATGCCGGATCAGCGTAAGTTCAACGCAATCGCCGTGAGCAATACTACTGCTTTTACGTAGCGTGCACTCGCGTGTGCGATGCGTGGTTGGCGTTACAAAGCGACCATTATTGTTAGTTAGTCGCACGGGACACGCTCTTTGCATCGATCCGTGTATTGCTTGCGTGTGCATTTCGTCTCTTACTTGCCGACATTTCTTCTTGCAACATTTTGTCTGTCTGTCTGTCTGTCTGTCTGTCTGTCTGTCTGTCTGTCTGTCTGTCTGTCTGTCTGTCTGTCTGTCTGTCTGTCTGTCTGTCTGTCTGTCTGTCTGTCTGTCTGTCTGTCTGTCTGTCTGTCTGTCTGTCTGTCTGTCTGTCTGTGTATGTATGGAGGTAAATGGTATAGTTAAAAATGCGTATGCTTCTCCGGAGTGACTTGGCGAATCCCATTTATCATCCGCAGCAGCAGATCCGACCCCCCCCCCGCCCCATCACCTCCACCAACGCAAACATGTTATTGTGTGTGTACACACTCATATAATAATACACGCATGCATGCTGGATGAGCATGAACGAAATGATCGATCTTGGCGATGGTGGGAGGAATGGACGGAGGTATGGACACACAAAATCGCGTTCGTTTACGCCAGCAGCTATATATAGCTGACAAGCTCACCCACGGCGGTCCGCCGCATATCATTATATGCATCCGTCGCATGCAACCGCGCATTTCGCCACGCACTACTGCCGTTCCTCACTATCTACACCAACAATCCCTGCCGCTTTATTATTACCGACACCTATATACATACATACACACATGGTAATGAATCCCAATGGTGGCGCCATGCGGCACTGACCAGCAGTCGCGGCATTGATCGCGGTGCGTGACGCCAACATGAACAAGTCCGCTGCCTGGAGGCGCACGCTGTCGCACTGGACCTGCCCCACGAATCCCGCTGACTCCGACCAGCCGTGTGACCCGTGCTCCAAAGATTGGAGCGGGAACTGGGAGTTCATTCACTGCCGAGGTGCCCAAGGACGTGAGTGAGGTGGTGTGTGAGGCGTGGTAATGAGCACACACATACATCAGTACGGTATGTAGTGGACTAGTGGATGGGGAGCAGAGCGATAGCGACCCGGAAACTAATGACAGCGTAATGATTCTTTTAGATCTGACTCCCGGATGAGCACGGGAAGCGAGCGTCGCCCTTGCTAATGCTGTTTATTACCGCAGCAGGCACCTGTATATATAATAATATGATTGCGCTATTATACTACATATAGTACAACACGAGGTTAGCGCGAATGGATGCTGGCTCGGTGTGTACTACTCCATGTCCGACTTATAAATTAAGATAGTTGTCCTATTCCTGTTTTACATTATTGCGTTGTTTCGTTCGGCTTTGTAACGCCAACACGACGCATGACGCACGACGGCGTATGTGCGCACGGACAGCGTACGGCGAGGGCTCTGTGGGAAAGTACGACGGCATGGTCACCAATGTGCACATCACCGACCAGAAACTGGACGGACTGCCGCCCCGTAAGTAGCGACTTAGTGACCAGTAAGGGATATAACCCACTGGTTAGGCTGCTGCTGGCTACTTTGTTAGCCAGCCAGGTATAATAATTGATGATCTTTCGGTCTCAGCTATTTGCCTGATGATATGAGCGTGTGTGCGTGTGTGTGTGTGTGTGCGTGCGCGTGTGTGTGTGTATGTGTGCGCGCGTGTGTGTGCGTGCGTGTGTGTGTGTGTGTGTGTGTGCGTGCGCGTGTGTGTGTGTGTGTGTGTGTGTGTGCGCGCGCGTGTGTGTGTGTGTGTGTCTCAAGGGTTTCGATTTAACCTTGATGTGTGTTTTGCCTATCGTCACTTGTGTGCAACGTCCTACCTACATTATTATTGGTGATACCAAATGACATCTCTCTTGTATCATTTGTATGTATGAGTGAATGTCTGCTTGTCCCTCAATCCGTCTATCCACCAGGCGAGCTGTGCGGTCTCAGCCACCTTCGAGAGCTGGATTTGGACGGCTCATACTTCAGCGGGCCCTTTCCCGCCTGGACACTCAAGTGCTTCAGTATGCTGCAGGAGCTCGATCTATCGCACAATAGGGTACGGAAGTACGGATGTACGAATACGGCAGAGGGATAACGGCTTTTATCAGTTCCCCAACACTGCCGCACGCAAACGCGCGCGCCAGGCCCTTGCCGTACAGATATCGTCTGTGCACTCAAAAGAATGGGTGCATACATGTGCATACATGTGCATACATGCAGCAGCAAAATTCGGCAAGCGGGATGTGCAGGCCTATGCATGGTATATCGCATGCATGCTAATATGCCATATGTATGTATAAACATTCTTTTGCGTATATATCCTGGCGCACATGCGCAGACGCACGCACACTGCACGTTGCTGGGTGTCGTCGCGGGAATCGGTGCACTTGCTACTCAGCACAAGCACACACGTGCGTGAGCGTGATGCTTCGGCAAAGTAAGGAGAGAAGGAATGCTTGCTGCTGGTTGCTCCCTTTCTTTTCTCTTCGCAATAAATATTCGTGGGTTTGCTATTTATCGTTCGGGATCGCACGCAGCTTACGGGCCCGCTTCCGGCGGATGTCAGCCGCCTGCCAACGCTGCAAGAATTCAAGGTGCGTACTTGCTTTGCTGCTGCTGTAAGTGTTATATTATATACGCAGCAGCCCGTCCGTCCTGACTCCCGCTAGCTCATAGCGTGCGCAGCCTTCGGCAAAACAAAACCCGCTCACCGCCGGATGCGGCATATCATCTTCTCCCTCTCCCCCTCGCACCTCGCTGCCTTAAACAAGATTACGGTTAGGTGTTCTGTTTAACCTATAAGCTTGAAGCTTCTAGGCGCTTGGGCCCATAGCTGTCTGGCTCGTGTACGGGCTGGCTCGTTACACCTCTCTATCTGGGTAACGCAACCTGGAGGTGTAACACACACACAGCTACACACGCACACGCACACACATGCATACACACAGGTTTTCTAACCAGACTGATCGATGGCCTCTTTACCTTAATCTTCCTACTATACCTATGGATATCCTACCTGGTCCAACACCCTAACTATCTGTCCGACACATCTTATAATATATAAACCCCTTTACATATACCTAAACAAACTACGTTAACTGCGGCACTTTCAGTATAGCAACATCTGAAGGGTGGGTATCTGCCAGTGGAGTTCCATAAAACCCTCTCCCCTCAACACGCGTACTCACGCACAGGAATGCCTTCATGCACCTAGGCCAGCGTACGTGCACCTCCTAGTAACAACATGTCTATCTATTACCTACATATCCACACCTATACATCGCTGTAAAGTAATGCTGCTGTTGTTCTGCATCATGCCGCTGCTGCCGCTGCTGCTGCTGCTGCCGCTGCTGCTGCTGCTTCTGCATGTGGAGCATCAACTCCTCGGTCAGGTTGAAGACAACTTGGTGCGTGCGTGTGTGTGTATGTGTATGTGTGTATTTGCATGTGTGCGTGTGTGAGGCCCTGGGGGTATATATGTGTGCTCGCGCGTCCAATCTGCATGTGTATATCATGTGTGTATTGCGCGTATGTTACACGTGTGTATGTATGTACGTGAGCATGCACGTGTACGTAAGCAGGTGGGGGGGTATGCGAGGGGGGTTAGTCTTCCCCGGCATGCGGCGACAAAGCAGAGTCAGCAACCGTGTACGGCTGGATATCGCTAGGTAGATGCCTAGGGAAGCGTTTAATGTTTTCGTCTTCCATGCACGCCAACCCGCTCGCGAACGAGCCGCAAAAACACACTTACATGGGCTGGCACGGACGGCCGGGGCACACACACACGCACACGCACACGCACACGCACACGCACACGCACACGCACACGCACACGCACACGCACACGCACACGCACACGCACACGCACACGCACACGCACACGCACACGCACACGCACACGCACACGCACACGCACACGCACACGCACACGCACACGCACACGCACACGCACACGCACACGCACACGCACACGCACACGCACACGCACACGCACACGCACACGCACACGCACACGCACACGCACACGCACACGCACACGCACACGCACACGCACATATATCTGGTCTGGTGACACTACTGCAATTTGCGGTTTTAAGGTTTTTCTAGGTAGACCCCCGTCCTTGTCGGGCGGAGCGTGAGATTATGGCTAGCTGCTGAGATGTGGAGTTGGGATTATAGTTGATGGACCGAAATTCGCACCACGCTGGATTGGTTCAGCGACTGATGAACCCTCTGTCTCTACGGATGTTCGGGTGAGGAGGGATGCGGCGGAGGGATTCTAGAAGACATCATCAACCGCCTTGGGCTTGCAGTTCGGGTATGGCACAGTACAGTGTGGTAATGGTGGATGGTGGTGTACGGTGTGTTCAATCCTAGATATACGACAATCCAAATGTGTGTTCCAATGGGCACGGAAGCCTCTCATATATATAGTGCATGCATGTATCACTGGTGCCACCCACAGCCGGCATCTGCAGATCTATAGCGCAATTGGCAGAGAGCTGCAAGCGCAAAATTGACAGTAATGTGCCGGTCTCACCTAAGCCCGCCTAGCTGTCGCATGATTAATCCCCCGGTTGCGGTTGCTGTTGCTGTTGCTGTTGGACCCCCCCCCCTGTGCCCCGTTGCCGCTGCTGTGTCGCAGTTTGTGGGGAGCATCCCATCCTCCTTCGGAGACCTGCCCAAGCTTCGTAAGTACGTGTGCAAGCTTTGAATGACGTTTTTGTGGCGTGGCAGGAGGACTGTGACCGCCGAAAAAAGCCCACTTCGAGATGCTGGAAAATAACGCGACTTATTTTAGCGTGTGTGTGTATGTCTTAGATGGTGTGTGTGCCGTATTGTACGACAGCTAGTTCAGAGGATGCGTGGGTGGGTCCGCGGCACACGCACACCGTGTGTTGTGAGTGCGGGCGGCAGCGCATTTGGGGCTAATAAGAAGTGAAGCGAGCACCAGGCGGAATGTCATTTTGCTATATTTAGGATGATTTACATGGTCGCTGTGTGTGGCAGGAATTCGTTTGTTGTATGGCGGTTGTTGGCCACTTGATCTGTCATCATGGATGTGTACGCGGGGAAAGGCTGTTACTCCCCCCCCCTTTCGTGGTGTATGGTGCACATCCACAGTCGACAGGGGTATCGAGAGCTTCATGGAATGGAATGAAAAACGCATATGGAATGCATACCTACCTACCTACCTACCTACCTGACCTACCTACCTGACCTACCTACCTGACCTACCTACCTACCTGACTAACTAACTAACCACTTCCGTACAAAACGTGCAGGCGTGCTCCGTTTGGAAGGCAACCGCCTGTCCGGCACCATCCCCAGCTCGCTCAGGTTGGTAACAAACAAACAAGAATCACATCACATTTTACATGATGCAAGAGGTGCTGTTGGTACACGCATGTCGAGTTATAAACCCAAGCTAGCTCCGTACATGCATACGTACATGCATACGTACATACGTACTTACATACGTACGTAAGGAACCCCTCGGCCACCGATCAATCCATGTGCAAACACACACGCGCCCGCGCACTCGATGTTCATCTGCTGCTATATCGTAGGTGTACGGACGTGTACGACATAAGTCCCTATTGGTTCATGTAAAATCCGGCCTCACTTGATGCGCACGCACACACAGCAAGCACCGCTCCACTATTCTCTCCCCTATGGGACCCTCCAAATTGCTCTTCTCGGCCTGCTGCTACTGCTTAACTGCTACTGCTGCTGAACTGCTACTGCTACTGCGGCTGCTGAGATCTCGCTGTGTTTTGTTCACCGCCTTCCCGGTAATTCAAGTAATTATGGCCCGCCCTCACCATGGTTCTACCCTGGCCCCTGGACACTCATACATACACACACCCATACACCCCGCCCCACCAGCAAGCTGTCGGGAGTGCTCAACGGATTGGAGCTAGCCAACAACAACTTCCAGGTCGGGGTTGCAATGTGTGTGTGTATGTGTGTGTATTGCAGTGTGTGTGTATGTGTGTGTGGGTGGGTTGCAGTGTGTGTGTGTGGGTGGGTTGCAGTGTGTGTATTGCAGTGTGTGTGTGTGTGCGTGTGTGTGTGTGTGCGCGTGTGTGTGTGCGTGTGCGTGTGTGTGTGTGTGTGTGTGTGTGTGTGTCATTTGTTGGGAAGGAGGTGGGGGCCGGGTCGGAGTGGCTAGGCGGCTGAGGGACTCGAGGGGGCTGGGTGCCGAGGGTGGGAGCTGGGGGGAACGTACGACTATGGCGGGGCACGTGCGCGCGTGGGCTATTGGCTGTTCCTGCTGCTACACAAGCCTACTCAGAGGCTATTGTTAATGATGTTGCATTTTTCTGGTCATTCTTCTTGTGCACCTACCTCCCTACCTATCTGCCCACTCCCCAGTGGTTCTGCATGAAGTCGTGTGTCGATTTACCCCTGTTATTTGCAGGGGGACTTGTCGGCACTGGCGAGTGTAAGGCCCATGTACGTGAGCATTCACAACAACCCGGGTCTGTGCGGCATGGTACCTGCCGGCATTCGTTTTGCTCACGGCTACAATCCAAGCAACACACGCCTCGGGTTCCCCTGCTGAAGACTGGATTGTTAATTGGTTTGCGACACTGGGCCTAATAAATGGGTGTTCCCCGACTAGGGATACAAGCGTTGGGTTTGGATGATGAAGGAACAAGGTTGGCGCGTGTGGACTGCGAGGCGTGGTTGTCCTCCTGGAAGCTACCAAGCCAATCCCCGGTGCTCACTGCTGCAAGGATTTTGAAATTTTGGAGCTTGTTTTAATTTGCAGTCTATTTGTCAATCCTAACGTCTATCGCTTTTAAACTAGTAGAACGTCGGCATGTTGCAACAAACATAAGGTCGGGACCCGCAAGGAGCAATGCGCCCAACGTGGGTCATGAACTCTCACAGCTCTGTAAGATAGCACGCAACACTCATGCAACAAGTGCGTAATTGACGCGTCGTTGGCCGCCTGACTGCCAGCATCAATGCCGTCCACGCATCTAATACACATTGACTCACTGTCTCGCACTGCCGCATTCCCGTATATCTCGCACCCTCGCTGAGGTATGAGAAGTGAGACACTGCACTCTTGGCACGTTGACAGTTGTCACATCGGACGGTTGCGGTGTTCTGGCATACCGTTATCAGTTGACAGCTTCAGATCAAATATTACGTATCCACAAATTGTCCTAAATGCCACGTAAATGATTCATCCCTGATCCGTTTATCGCACTTGATAGCCCTTGACTACACAATCCGCAACACCTTGACGTTGCAGCAAGCAGCATACTTCAGGTCAACGAGATCTTTTAGTTATAGCTATATGTATCATCATTATCAGTGTGCTGTACGGGAGCTCTTTCCCGCTTATCTGTCGTAATCGCTTACGATGTCATCGCTGTGAATTACGTCCGCACCGTGCTTTCTAATGCCTTCTACCAAGCGACTATTTGTCTTGCAGAAGAAATTCTAGGAATTATATATATGATTACTTAACATGTTGGTTTGTTAATGTTAACCAACAGGGACCAACGGCTGTTTTCCAGCAGTTTTCGTAATGCTGCATTGGGATTTCGTTGGCGAAGAATGAAGCATGAATATGTATATCACAGCGACAATATCTCAAGCCGATATCCTCTTAGCTTTTAAGCCCTGGTTGCTAATGCCTATCAACAGCACTTCTTTGCGCGTACTTGAGCCTGGAAGCAATTAAGCAGAGTATACTTCTTATTAATTTGATGTGGCATTCAGTAGCGCTCTGCTGGTAGCTCACTCAAACGGACTGTCGGCAGCTGGCCATGGCGAAGTCGGGTCAAGATCAACACCGCTGGTTAAGGGAATGGCGCGATTGGGCGCGTAACTTTATCCTTTCACCTCCATTCCAAGCGGCCGTCCACCTTAGCGTTGGCACTTTCCTGGCAGGGCTTTTCGTCTTCATTAGGTAAGACTTGGACAACTAATGCCCCATCACGATGTCGAAGTGTAAATGCGCATCACACGGAGATATGCAGCTGGTATTCGATGTCTGTCCGTGCGGGATGCTGGGCCTAGTTAGCTTCGGTTCCCCAGGGGAGGGGAGAAGCTACCCGGTTGTCGTGAGGTGACTGAACTTCGCAACGGCGAAGGTGCCAGCACGCTTGCAGCATCACATCCCCGTGCCCATATAGCAAAACCCAGGTAGCTGCACATCAAAAAAGCTAGACTCTCTCCTTAGCCCTCCCATAACTAACAAGCAATTCTGTGACATAACCATCTTCTCCTGCTTCCTCAACACTCTCTTTGCCTTTCAAGCTCCCCTATCCCCCTATCCGGCGTCCTAGTTTTCCGTTCCCACCCGTGCTCCACACAACCCCACACACACCATCAGTTCCCAGCAACACTATCTGCTGCCCGCACGCCATGGCCCAATCCTCCTATACTCCACGCCATAAACCTTCCTTCACAGTAGCCAGTCTTCAATTGACCCTTTGCTGCTTGCATCTGTTTATATCGCATCCCTCCCGTCCCCCTCCTCCCCCCAGGCCCATGTCCTTCCCCCTCTCATGCCTGGCCGCTCTTCTGGTAGTGGTGGTGGTGGCGGTGCTCTCACCTGACAACCACATCGGCACCCGGCTGACGGCGGCGGCGACCCTGCTGGGCGCCATGGCCTGGGGGCTGGTGCTGGGAGGTGCCGTGGTACGTGGGGCCGTGGGCCTGAGTGCTGCTGCTACTTACCCTCTGTTTGGGTTAATGTGGGTCGATCTGGGTCACGATGGATCCATCCGGGTCACGATGGATCCATCCGGGTCACGATGGATCCATCCGGATCACAATGGATCCATCTGGGTCACAATGGATCCATCTGGGTCATGATGGATCCATCTGGGTCATCATGGATCCATCCGGGTCATGATGGATCCATCCGGGTCACGATGGATCCATCTGGGTCACGATAGGTCCATCTGGGTCACGATGGATCCATCTGGGTCATCATGGATCCATCTGGGTCATCATGGATCCATCTGGGTCATCATGGATCCAAATTGGGTTGCCGGAGATCGTCAGGCGTTTGAAAGCGGCAGGCGACTTATGAAGGGACCCTCTTTGTCTATCTGCTTACATATATCTACCCATCTACGCCCCTTCACAAACACCGACGCACAAATTGCCATACGCAGCTATACACAGGTCCTTGTCCTTTGTCAAGAATATAACCACCTGCCTTCCATCTCGTGGTTCGCCTGCTTCGGTTTTAACACTCACCTTTATGCTCACCGCGGCCCGTACATCCCGCTCCTCTTCCCTGCCCCTTGCCCTGCCCATCAGCTCACCCTGGCCCACATCACCGTACGACCGTACTGCAGTACGGCGATTGGTTGCTCCCCTCACACCGCCCTGCTGTGCTGCCTGTCCGTGGTGCTTCTGGCAGTACTGGGTGTCAACCGTGCGGCACTGGGCCCGCCGTACCCGGCCCACGTGTGGGTGGCGGGTATGGTTTCGGCGCTGGCCTTCGGGCTGGTGCTCATTGCCGGGCAGTTCGTGACCGACATGAGGCTGCTATGGACCAATGTGAGGCGCTGCGAGTGGGGGCCCCGCGGAAGGGGTGGGAGGGGATGATTGCTTCTGTTGGTCTGCCGCGCCCGTCCGTACCGTGTGATGTATCTTAGGGTTGTGATGTATCACCGCGCGCGCACATAGCAGCCCCGTGCCGTCAACTCGTCTACCAGCTTTCTCAGGTGTAGTACGGCAAGTCGGCAACTTACTGGATGAAGCTATTGAATTAACCGAATTAACTGACATCTAACTGACATCTAACCAACTAACAAATATCTTATTCAAACTAACTGCAGGTGGTTGGCGGTTTACTGTTGTCTTGCCTCGTGGCTTCGGGCCTCTCCGCCGCCGTGTCGCTGTTGGTGTTGCCCTCCCTGGCCCTGGACGAGATGAGGGCTGACGTGGCGGCGGCCATTCGGGGGCTCGGGCACGCGGCCAGCAGGTGTCGGTTGTAATGTACTGCGCCGGCGAAGAAGTAGTCCTGCGTAGTAGTATTACGCTACGAAATTACCGTGTGTTTATCAACGTATTTGAGCGAGCGGGATGTGAAACCTTGGCGGGAAGTTGTTGCTGTTTCGATGAAGTCAGAAGACTGGAGCTAGGACGACACCACATGACACGACCGTTATAAAAACCGTTTTTCAAGGACCGGGTCTGGGGGGGGGAGACCAAGTCCGGTCTGTAGTTTTTTCCTTCCCACGCCATCGCTGCGTATCTCACCACCGTAGCAATGCCACTCTTCTGCTGCGCCATTGCCGTGCGTGCCTGTGTGTTTTTGCCGAGAACTCTTAAACCCGGTAAAAATGCTAAATGGGTTGTGTGCCGCTGCCGACTCGAACACCGCTCCTGCCTCTCCCGCCTCCTCTCCTTAGGTTCGCGAGTCGCGGGTTACAACAGGAGCCTCCTTCCGGGGCCCTGCTGGCCGCCAAGCCGCCCTCCGCTGCTGCTGCTCTACCTTCCGCCGCCACCGCCACCACCACCACCACCACCGCATCGCTACCGCCGGTGTCGCCTCGCAGCCGTCAGCCCAGCGGTGTGCGGGAGACACCCTCCCTGGCGCCATGGGACAGTGCTGGTGATGAAAAATTGGCTGTAACAGGTGACGCCCTTGCTACAGCTACTGCCGGTGTTGCTACTGCCGCTAACGGCATTATCGAGGATTGCGGCGACGGAGGGAGCGATGCCGGCGGCAGCGGCGGCGGCGGTCGTTGTTCGGGTTGCGGCATCTCATCAGAGAGCGGCAATGGCGGCGGCGGTGGTGGTGGCGACGGAGCGGGCTCTTCTCGGCCGCCGTCGGCTCCCACCAGCGACGATGAGCGCCCCGCCTGGCCGCTACACTCTTTGCCCCGACCGCGAGGCGGCCGCGCGTACGGCAGTTACAGAGCTGCTGCTGACGGCGGCGGCGGCGGTGGTGATTTTGAGCACGTGATGGAGGATGAGGACGCCTTTCTTCGATTGCTGCAGGAGGCGACGGCGCCGGTGGCGGCAACGTACGATGCCGCCCGCGGCCGCGGCCGACGCCGACACGCGCCGCCGCCGCTTCCGGTTGTGGCGCCGCCCGGCGGCATCCTGCCGTCACCGAGCGTCCGTGGTCTGATGGGCCTTGGCGGCGCCGCCTCAGTCACCGTCGTGACATCGCCGCCGGCGGGTGTTACGCCGTACATTTCGAGCGCATCGGCAGGTGATGGCGCTAACACTCCGCTGGAACCCGCCAAGGTCAACGGCATGACCCATGGGTCGGCGGTGGCCGCTGGCAGTCATTACTTGGAGGAGGACAAGGCGGCGGCGGCGGTAGGTCCGCCCGGCAGCGGCGCCGCCACAGCGCACGGCGGCGGCGGCATTGGTAGTTCGACGGTGGCTTGGGCGCCCGTATCGGCGCTGCGACCTCTGCTGGCGCGGGCTCGGGCCTGCTCGGCGGCGGCGGCTGTGGAGCCTCCGTGGATGGCTCGGGGTCCTTCGGATCTTGGTAAGAGCGAGTCATCGCTGTGACATACATACGCGTGCCGGTGCGTGCGGATGTGTTTTTTGCAGGAGCAGGCAGCTCACAACAAGTCACAACACAAGTGCTTGTAACAGCTCGCGCCAAAAGTACACGTGGCCAGGGGTACACCCGCGGGTACATCGGTTCTTGTGGCACGAGCAGAACCGTGTGTGCGTGTAGGTGTAGATATATCTATATATTTATTTACATGTACGCACGCATGTCTGTATGCCACGACGCACAGCTGCGCAGCCGTGTGTCGAATGTGGCCATGCCTTCCACGGCAGGTGTACGGCAGGTGTTTTTCGTGTGGGCAGAGGAAGCTTAGGAGCCTGGTCCACGTGTCACCCTCCGCCTTCCCCTTACTCGCGCACCCCCTCCGGGGACTCGGGCTCCTCACACGTCCTCACCTTTCTCCCCACCCGCTTTCCATTCCCCCCCTCGCCCCTTGCCCTTCCCCCCCTCGCCCGGGGTGTCCTACCCCCCTTTCCTGCGGGGATTCGTCCTCCTCACCGCCAACACCTCTTCAACACCCCCGCCCCTCAACAGCCCCCTGGACCCGAGTGCTATCCACTAGCGAGGTTTTACTGGGTCGGTTGGCCTCCCTGGAGTGTCTACTTGAGGACCACAGTCCGGGGCATGTGAGTGATGGGTGGGTGCTGGATGGCTGGATGGCTGGGTAGGGGGTAGGGGGTAGGGGGGGCCGGGTAGGGGTGGGGGCCGGGTAAAGGGGGGCGGCAGGTGGGTATAGGTTCTGTATTGTGGGAGGGTCTGGGCTAGGAGGCTCTGAGGGGGCCGGGTATGAGGGCCTAAGGAACTGGCGCCCTTCGGGAAGAACACCAGGGGTGTGTATGTGTGTTTTGTATGCATGTGTGTCTGTATGTATGTGTGTAAGAGGGACGTGTCTGTTTGTTTCCGTGTCTGTCTGAGGCACTCTACGGCAGGCGGGGTTTGTGTTTATATGTGTGCGTTAGGAACTGATGACACGGTGTTATCGGATTTGGAAGTTGTCGTTGCTGCTACCGATGTAGCCGCCAATGTATTGTGTTACACCGTATACAAGTACAGGCCGTACAAATCTTACGCCGTACACTTTCTGCCCCTCGCCCCTCCCACCACTCATTTACGCGCCACACAGCCCGGCCACTCCTTGGGGGATGTTGGCCTGGCTGCCGTACTGGGCATCGATGTCGTATCGCCGTACAGGCAGGTGTACGGGGAGGTAGCTGCCAGCTGTGCTGCCATGAGCGTAGCCGTGACCGCGTGTATTGAAGGTCGGCAGCACTCCTCCTCCACTTCCTTTTCCTTTCTGCCCCTAAACCGCCTCCGGAATGGAAGAGGAAAGTGCGCAACCTCAGCCACGGACAGGACAGGCGGCGAAGGCCAAGCAGCTTTTGCAGCGGTTGGCGGTTGGCAGTTGACCAAGGAGCGGTTACGGTCGTTGGTGCGCACGACTATGTCGAATTACTGGTCTCGCGTCAGGAGTGCTGCCGCTCAAAACCAGCCTCACCGCCATCTTCACCTTCAGCTACACCATCGCCTCCATCACCACCTTAACCACCATCACCATCATAACCGCGACGACGAGAGTTCCATGCAACCTCTCCATCACAACCACCATCACAACCACCATTACAACCACTTCCATAACCACCCCATGAAGGAGGAAGGGGAGACACAGGACCTCAACCGCCATATCCACTCGCAATCGCGCCGGGAGGACGGTTACCACCCCCACCCCCACTCCCACCCCCAGCAGCGGGGCGTTTTCCGCCTCCATCACCATCACCCGCACCACCACCTCCACCTGCATCACCCGCACCGTCCCACCAAGATTCGCACCATCAGCCTCCATCAGGTGTGACATCGCGGTGGAAGGGAACGGGGGGAAAGGGGGAGGGTAAGCTAAGTTTTAAAGCAAAAAGTCAGCTTTCAAAAGTCAGTCAGTCCAAAGGAACAACTGTGTAAAGATGTCTAAAGAGAAGGAGTCGAACGCAAGAAGGGAAAGAAGGGGAGTGCGTATGGGGGGAGGTCTGGGGGAAGAAGGAGAGGGGCAAAAAAGAAGCAGGGAGAGAGTGGGTTAGCCTTAACGAAGGGAGGGACCCTGGGCTGAGATCATGACAGACCAAACGTCCAGCACACCTTTTCTGGGCTGTACCCTTCTTGCGCTCTCGACAAACCATGGATCTCTTTTCCGTACTTTGTCGTACTGCCCTAAATCGCGCTGCTATTCCGTGCCGTATTTCCAAAATCCAAACTCTACGCGCTTGAAAAGGCCCGCGCAATGACGTTTCTCTGGACGGTGACCGCGGGCGTTATCAGCGCAATGGACGAGCTGGAATTGGCCGTACAACAAGCGCTTGCGGAGCCCGGAAACCACGCCCAGCGAGTGGCTGACAGCAGCGACGCCA